CATGGCGTGAATACCCCCGCATACCACTTTGTCAGAATCAACATTTAGAGCTCAAAGACAACCACCCTGCCAAATCTGAGGTTACTAGGCTAAGATATGTATTCTCCATGCTTCAAATGTGAAAATTTTAAAATCAAGTTTTTTTTGTCAAGGCCCCTGTGAACTTGACCTTTGACCCAGTGACCTCAAAATTAATAGGGGTCATTAAGTAATCATGACTAACCTCCATGCCAAATATGAAGACTTTGGGTCAAAGGAATCTCAAGTTATTGGGCGGACAAGCTTTTTTTAGTCATAGCCCCTGTGACCTTGAACTTTGACCCAGTGACCTCAAAATCAATAGGGATCATGTACTAATCATGACTAACCTCCATGCCAAATATGAAGACTGTGGGTCAAAGGAATCTCAAGTTATTAGGCGGACAAACTTTTATGTAGTCAAGGCCCCTGTGACCTTGACCTTTGACCCAGTGACCTCAAAATCGATAGGAGTCATCTACTAATCATGACTAACCTCCATACAAAATATGAAGACTGTGGGTCAAAGGAATCTCAAGTAAATGGGCGGACAAGGTTTTTTAAGTCAAGGCCCCTGTGACCTTGACCTTTGACCCAGTGACCTCAAAATCAATAGGGGTCATCTACTAATCATGACTAACCTCCATGCCAAATATGATGACTGTGGGCAAAAGGAATCTCAAGTTATTGGGCGGACAAGCTTTTTAAAGTCAAGGCCCCTGTGACCTTGACCTTTGACCCAGTGACCCCAAAATCAATAGAGGTTATCTTCTAATCATGACTAACCTCCATGCCAAATATGAAGACTGTGGGTCAAAGGAATCTCAAGTTATTTGGCGGACAAGGTTTTTCTAGTAAAGGCCCCTGTGACCTTGACCTTTGATCCAGTGACCTCAAAATCAATAGGAGTCATCTTCTAATCATGACTAACCTCCATGCCAAATATGAAGACTGTGGGTCAAAGGAATTTCAAGTTATTGGGCGGACAAGGTTTTTTAAGTCAAAGTCCCTGTGACCTTGACCTTGACCCAGTGACCTCAAAATCAATAGGGGTCATCTACTTATCATGACTAACCTCCATGCCAAATATGAATACTGTGGGCAGAAGGAATATCAAGTTATTGGGCGGACAAGCTTTTTAAAATCAAGGCCCCTGTGACCTTGACCTTTTACCAAGTGACCCCAAAATCAATAGGGGTCATCTACTAATCATGACTAACCTCCATGCCAAATATGAAGACTGTGGGTCAAAGGAATCTCAAGTTATTGGGCGGACAAGGTTTTTTAGTCAAGGCCCCTGTGACCTTGACCTTTGATCCAGTGACCTCAAAATCATTAGGGGTCATCTACTAATCATGACTAACCTCCATGCCAAATATGAAGACTGTGGGCCAAAGGAATCTCAAGTTATTGGGCGGACAAGGAAAAACCGACGGACGGGGAGACGTCCGGACGGACAAGCTGATTCCAGTATACCCCCCTTATAATTATGCAAAAAAATGTAAATACGATTATGTATGTGTCAAGAACCAGTTGAACCGGGTGATGCTTCCCGAATAGGTTTTTTTTATACAAAGAAAAGTATACCTCTTGTAGTTTCAGAGTTATGACAAAGTTCAAAGTGCAATTATTTCATACTTAGGCAAGGCAGAGTTATGGTTCTTTTGCACTACACTTTATACCCAATGAGATCTAACTACCTACAAAGTTTCATGTTGATATCACTTATAGTTTCAGAGTTATGTTCCGGACAAAGTTCAAAGTATAAAAAAATGAACCAAGGGCAATAACTCCAAAATTAGGCAAGGCAGAGTTACGGTTCTTGTGCACTGCACATTAATCTACCGACAAAGTTTCATGTTGATACCTATTTTTTTACAGAGCTATGTCCCCGACAAGAAAGGCGGACGGACGGACAACAGGACGGACACACGGACAAAGCGGCGACTATATGCTCACCCTTCGGGGAGCATAAAAAATGTACAAATGTTGCATATATTGTGTAGAAGTGTGTACTGTGCTATACGTGCGACCGAATTTTCTCCATTTACTTCCGGTTATATTAATGTAAACAACAAGCCTTTCGGATTGTTGTCAACGACAACAACAACAATTAGAGCTATCACTTATATCCCCACCAGCAACTTTGACTTTTTTTGAAAAAAAAAGTGGTCAGAAGAAAAATTTAAACTCAACCTATAGTCAATGAAGTATCAACTGTGTATAAAGAATTATTTCAATTAATTGCAATACCAACCGGCGTCTTCATATAAGCTTGCTATATACAATACCTTACTCTAGTTATTGTCCAGAATCTTTTTCCCCCCTATTTTTAGGAACGGTGATCTTGACCTTGACCCCAGGGGGCCCAAATGAAATACCACCCGGGGTTGCTATACACAAGTTTGATTATTTTTTCTAAGTTAAAGAAGGACAATTCCGTCAAAAGTCGATGGACCAAAATCAAATTCGAACTTGACATGAATTTTCTGGTTAAATATCCACACATGCGATTTCAATCTTATACATAAATTTGTACAAGAAACAGAAAATTATAACTTTTTTTCCAACGTTCAAGAGGAATAACTTTGTCTAAAATCATCAAACCATGACCGAATTTTAAACTTGACCTGCTAATGCCTATGATGTATCTATATTTTAAAGATCCTGCATGTTTTTTAATTGAGATTGCATATTTTTTTTTTTTTTTTTTTTAATGCGTTAATTTAAGGTCGCCGCCGGAGAGCCCATATGGGCGACCGTACACTCAAGTCGGGCCATCCAAGAGCGTCCCGCCGAGATTTTTTCGTCGATTTTTTCCAGCTTTATTGGTGGAGGAAGACCCCAGGTGCCCCTTCGGGCATTATTTCAGGCACGAGCGTGCACCTGGGTAGAACCACCGACCTTCCGTAAGCCAGCTGGATGGCTTCCTCACATGAAAGATTTCGACCCGAGTCAGGATCGAACCTACAGCGGTGAGGGACCAGTGATCTCAAGTCAGCGACCTTAACCACTCGGCCACGGAGGCCCCCTTGAGATTGCATACCACTCTTCATTGAATTATATTTGTATGTAATTATGCAAATTTGTCAATTTTCAAACATGTATTGCAAATATTTTTACATATTTAAGGTAATCATTAAATTATATGCATTCATTTCTTATTGGAAAAATTGACTTAGAATTTATAGAAAACTAAATTCTAATTACCTCCCTTTATTTACATGAAATATTAAATTCGGTAATATCTTTATAAATAATATTTTTTGAAACTTACAATATCGATAAATCTTAATTTGAGCATCATAATTTGTATATAAAACCATGAACCATTGAATGTGTACAACTGTTTGGGAGATAATGAACGGAAACTGAAATTTCTTTTTTTTTTCATAGTTAATTAAAGAGGCATTTAAAGAGGCATTTACCAAAAATCATGAACCATGACCAAATACGAACTTTACCTGCGTAATCCTATTACGTATTCATATGTAAATTTAAGTTGAATGTGTACAACTGTTGGGGAGATAATGAACTGAAACTGAAAATTTCTTCAAAGGGTATAGAGAGATAAGAACTATCCTTTACATTTTGCTTTAGAAAGGCCAATGAGATTCCCCGATTTCATTTTATAATTTAAAATAACCATTGAAAATTCTTCTTATATTCAGTTCTTCCCTGTAAATTTTACAGACAGTTAAACTGATTTTAGAAAAAAGAAAAGCAGTGATATCCGCCATTTACGGCAACGTTTGCACGAGTTACTCCCCTTGATATGCATTATTTTTGTTTTAATTTTTCTTGTACTCAGATAAAAGTGCCATACTTTCTGGCCATAACATTGTGTTAGTAGACCAGACCTGAAAAGGTAAATAAATACCTTACAATCATGAAAAGTGAATATTTGTTAGAGGAAATCTGAGAGCGTGTTCTTACACAAATAATGTATGTTTTCCACTAACCCATGACTCTGCACTTCTTTGCCGGATTAGAGAATGGACGTTATTGCAATGAAAAACGGGTGAAACTTAATAGCACAGGGTCCCAAAGTCACATTTGTGACATTCATCTAATATTTTTAATGTAACATGTTCCAATCTTGACAAAACCATCGAACAATTTTTGGGAAATTTTCAAAATACATACTTGCTGAATAGCCAACAGTGCAGACTATGATTAGACCCGCTGATTTTGGTCTATATACTGGTTGAATTGATAGATTCAGTTGACATGAGCACGCCAAGGGTTAACTGGAAAGTTCTCTAATGCTCTGAATTCAGATAGTTTGTGTGAGAATACCCTTTAGGTCCTGTACAAAACTTTTATATACATGGAGTCAAAGTTTAGGCGCGACATAGACGTTAAATTCTACCAAGGTCTTTCAAATTGAAACTGATTCTACATATAAAGGTTTTACAGACAGAAGAGTATGGGTATTTATATCTTTAAGCGTGAAACTCCAAATACAAGAGCTTAGAAAATTTGCAAAATGTATTGCCTTTTAGGTCTGTACACAATTTATTAGACTCTATGCAATTGGATCAAAAGTGGCCTTTTTCCATTTACAATGAAATTATATAGGAAACTACATTTGAAAGTCTCATCAGCAGGTACAGAAAATATTTAGCTTTGAATTCAAATTCAAATTCTTTATCTCTCTCGGTGCACCATGCATGATACCAACATGCGGTATATACAGTGAATACTTGTAAAAAAAAACAGCATCTACTTACGAACATGACAAGTCATATACAGATGAACAATCACAATACATAACAAGAGCTGGTTGGACCGGGTGATGACCACCCGACTAGGTTTTGGACAAAGAAAAGTATACCTGTAGTTTCAGAGTTATGTCCCAGACAAAGTTCAAAGTGTAATAATTCCAAACTTAGGCAAGGCAGAGTTACTGTACTTGGTACTGCATACTCAATGAGATCTATCTACCTAGAGTTTCATGTTGCTAACTCTTTTAGTTTCAGAGTAATGTCCAGGACAATGTTAAAAGCGTAAAAATGAACAAAGGGCAACAACTGCAAAATTAGGCAAGGCAGAGTTACGATTCCTATGCATTGCATACCGACCCACCTACAAAGTTTCATATGTTAATATATATTATAGTTCGGACAAGAAAAAGCGGACGGATGGACTTAGCGGCGACTATACAGTATGCTTATCTTCGGGGAGCATAAAAATAGATTAACCATCAATTGTTTGTTTATCTTTTCTACTTTCGTTCAGTATGAAAGTAATTTATTGAGTAGCATAACTGATATATTTCGATGAACAGCTGACATCTAAATGTGCTATTTATAGTCTGAAATTAACATCAAATGATGTCTATTTCATATAGCCAGCTTTTGGCGCCTGTCTTACATATATCGGGCAAATGACAGTCTTTGTTTTTGGAGTGATCGTGGACTGAAATTTTTACACCTTGAGATGCGTGTTTAGATGTTTCACGGTACCACGTGCGTTTTAAGTTTATGAATTATTTCTGTTGTCAAAGCTTGATTTTAAATATATATATGGATTTACCGAAAGCTAGTGTTGCAGTGTTGTCGTCATTAGGGAAAATGTAAGTGTTAATATTAAACTTTTGTAATTGTGAAAAATATATGTTGGCATGTTATTTGCTTATGATTGCTATCATCATTCGCTGAGCTTATGACTTATGATGAAGTTGAAAATTATTCAACGGGTCCTATATACTGCAGTAAGATCAGATTTGGGGTCGCTGGGTTAAAGGTAAAATCTTGCATTTGCATATATATAATATATGCTTATCAACATTCCTGTAACAGTGTAGCAATACCATGTGACATTGACGTCATTTTCGGCATCATTTCCAAGACAAATGTTGCTCGATTCGGAAAAGAAAATAGCCGTAAATATTTTATTTCTGTACCAATTTCTTTGGGATATGCACCAGTCTACGGGGAAAAATATAAGCTTTCCACAGAATATTGGATCTTCGTCAGTTTATAAGCCGTTTTATCAAACACTTTGCATAACCTTAGAAGTTGCATGTATTAGAGCGGTTTTCAGTTGCAAGCTATTTCGTTTTCTGGCATTATTTGGTCTACGCCATGATTAAAAAGTCAGGTTTACATCAACCGGGGGTACAGACAGCAAAATCCTTCCTTAATATGTTTATATGTTTATTATTTATGGCGTAAATCTTGCCTTTTTCTTCAATTGTCAATTCTGGCACCAGTTCCAAGTCGAAAATAAGGACTACAGTTTAAAGCAGATTTTAGAATCCGTTGCAAATGCAAAGCAACATGCCTACCGTTCTCTTTCTATAATTATGTTAACCATGAAAAACATTTTATTTACTATACTGTACGATTTACATAAAGTTGATAAACACAAATGAATATTTAAATGATTTTTACTCGCTGCGCTATAAGTGATTTTAAAAGTCGTAAAATTATTGTCTGTATTTGCAAGAAATTGATCAAGAAATTGATTTGCTCTTTAATCATTGTTCTTTCACGGTAATGATTATGAAAAAGGCAATATCCTGGTTTAGGCCCCGGAGGGGTTTGTGTTTTAGACAGTCTCATTCATTCCGTAAATACATAAAAAAATATTGATAAAAAAGTAATTAAAATGACGCATTCATTCCGTAAATACAGACGCAATGTTTATAAATTTCAAATGTCATTCATTCCGTTAATACATACAAACTCCCCCAAATTTCCCCCCAAAAACAAATCAATATATATGAACCCCCTAAGAAAACCCTGTTCCAGGAAATACTTCCCCTGAAGAAGTCACTTACAAGTGTAAGTCTTTTTTCCCCAGCAATTATTTTCTTTTGTGTATATTTATAAGTATCAACAATTTCTCTACACTTACATTATAAATACTCCTGGTTTAAACCACGGGGTCCAAACCAGGAGTATATATATATAATGATGAATAAAAACAAGAGCGATCAGTAATCACATGTGTCGCCTCATGATGGCCAATTTTATGTTGGGACAAAGTTTGTGACAGACGGACAGACAGTGCACAACTAGACTTGGTACTGATCATTCCTGTAAAGTTTGGATAAAATTGCACCAGTAGTTTATGAGGAGTTGTCCGGACAAGCTTTTGTGTATCACAGAAAAAAACACCTTTTTATCAAAGGGCCATAACTCGGCCAAAAATCATTCAACCGGAAAACCCTTGCAATGTGCGCAAGGACTTGAGCTACAGATCAATCCTGTAAAGTTTCATTGAAATTGCATTAGTGGTATAAGAGGAGTAGTCCGGACAAACTTTAAAATTAAAAATTATTAAAGGGCCATAACTCTGACAAAAATCATTGAACCGGAAAATGCTGACAATATGCACAACTAGACTTGGTACTGATCATTCCTGTAAAGTTTGGATGAAATTGCACCAGTAGCTTATGAGGAGTAGTCCGGACAAGTTTTGTGACGGACGGACGGACGGACAGACAGACGGACAGACGACGGAGAAGTGATCCCTATATGTCGCCACTACTCCGTAGAGGCGACACAAAAATGTCTATAGTTAATAAGTTTATAAAACCATTTGACGATATTGATAATATTGCAATAGGTGTTACGGACATAAACACTTCACGGAATGAACAAATGGTAAAATATTTTTTCTGTTATATATATATATATACTCCTGGTTTAGACCCCGGGGTTCAAACCAGGAGTATATATAAGAAACAAGAAAACTCAAATTCACAAATATTTCAGCAGTTAACTCTTCAAAAACGGATTGAATATAATCTTTCTTTTATCTCACCAAATTAATGAAGAAAATGTTCTTCAAAATACTTCAGATTTCATTTCAATAAATTTAGCTACAGATTAGGAGAAATAATGCAGAGAATATAGAAGATGTCACAGTATATATATACTCCTGGTTTAGACCCCGGGGTCCAAACCAGGAGTATATATAATAAACAAGACTGGTCAAAACCATGAGTATATACTGTATCATAAACATGATCGTGTGCCCAAGCGATATTATGGTAGTTGTTATTAATTTATTGTCGCATCTCTGAAATATTGTGTTTTATGTGGAGTTAAAGCATTAAACCCCCCGGGGCTTAAAAAGGGAGATTGCCATGAAAAATCTATAAGTGTCATGTAGCAATACTAAACGTGGAATATTCAAAATAGAGAGAAAACAGAAACCCTAAATATCGCCCAAAACGGCAAAATTGAAAATGTTGCAGGCTCGGTTTGACTTAACTAGCCTGTCCAAGGAAGTGCACATTCAGGATCACTTCCATTCGTGGTTACGCCTCAACGCGGCAATTTTAAAGTCAAAGGTTATTCTTTTGTAAAGAGTTATTTATACGTATAACCATATATATACTTGGTAAAGGACCTGTAGCAATGTTTTAGTATATGATATATTTAGCTTTTTAACACAGTGGCACTCGTTGATAAAAAATACTTTTACATCCTGTTTTCATACCCACGGTAACCGTTTTTCGTGAACTGGATATAACTCCGTTCACTTAAGAACACTAAACACTATTTATTTTCTTATTGCATTTATTTCTGTTGATAAACTGCATATCTGAAAAAATTTAGTTAATTATATCAGTCATTTTACCCAGCTTTATCAGAGAGCTCACCAATACACATTGTATAAAGAGAGGAAGGGAACGGAATATTTTTGGTTTGAAAACATTTAAATCGAGTAGAATTTTTATGCCACCGCAGCGGTGGCATATAGCGATTCACCTGTGTGTTTGTTTGTGTGTGTGTGTGTGTGTTATATAGATTATATAGTGAACTTAAAAAATCTTCTTGTGAAAAACCACTTGACCAATTTCAACCAAACTTGGCAGGATTGATCCTTGGGTGAAGGGCTTCCAAAGTTGTTCAAAGAATTTCATTCCATGCAGAAATCTGGTTGCCATGGCAACCAAAAGGAATTATAAGAATAAATTTAAAAAAATCTTCTTGTAAAGACCCAAAAGGCCTAGAGCTTAGATATTTTGCATAAGGCATTGTCTAGAAGACCTCTACCAAGATTGTTCAAATTATAACCCTGGGGTCAAAATCGGCCCGGCCCCGGGGGTCATTGATTTTCACTATATGTACATATAGTAAAAACTTAAAATAACTTCTTGTAAAGACCCAAGAGGCCTAGAGCTTAGATATTTTGCATAAGGCATTGTCTGGTAGACCTCTACCAAGATTATTCAAATAATAACCCTGGGGTCAAAATCGGCCCCGCCCCGGGGGTCATTGATTTTCACTAAATGTACATATAGTAAAAACTTAAAATAACTTCTTGTAAAGACCCAAAAGGCCTAGAGCTTAGATATTTTGCATAAGGCATTGTCTGATAGACCCTTACCAAGATTGTTCAAATTATAGCCCTGGGGTCAAAATCAGCCCGACCCGGGGGTCATTGATTCTCACTATATGTACATATAGTAAAAACTTAAAATACCTTCTTGTAAAGACCCATAAGGCCTAGAGCTTAGATATTTTGCATAAGGCATTGTCTGGTAGACCTCTACTCAGATTGTTCAAATTATAGCCCTGGGGTCAAAATCGGCCCTGCCCCTGGGGTCATTGGTTTTCCTTATATGTATATAGAAAAAACTTTATAGTAAAAAAATTTCTTCTAGCAAATGCTAGAGGTTAGATATTTTGCATGAAACATTGTGAAGTGAACTTCTAGCAAGATTGTTCAAATTATAGCCCTGGGGTCAAAATTGCCCCTGCCCCGGTGTCATTGATTTTCAATATATACATATAGTAAAAAATCAAAAAATCTTATTGTCTGAAGGTACAAGGCTTAGAGCTTGAATATTTGTTAAATGATATCATCTATAGGTACTCTACCAAAGTTGTTCAAATTTTGCCTCTTGTGTCAAAATTAGCCCCGCCCCATGGGCCATAGGTTTTCCTTATATGTATATAGTAAAAACTTAAAAAATCACCTTCTCTAAATTTACAAAGGCTAGAGTTAAGATATTTTGCATGAAACATTATGTAGTGAACCTCTAGCAAGATTGTACACATTATAGCCCTGGGGTCAAAATTGGCCCCACCCCCAGGAGTCATTGATTTTTACTATGTACATATAGTAAAAAAAAAAAGAAATATTTTTGTCTGAAGGTACAAGGCATAGAGCTTTGATGTTTGCTCTATAATATATTCTATGGGTTCTCTACTTAAGTTGTTTTAATTATGCCCCTAGTGTTAAAATTGGCCCTGCCCAGGGGCAGTGATTCTCATTATGTTCACATAGTAAAAACAGAAAATAAAACAAACCTTTTCTGAATAGGAGAAAGCTACAGCTTAGATATTTGACTTGAAATGTTGTTTGGTGGACCTGTATCAAGATTGTTTTGAATTAAACCCTTGGGTCCAAAATTTTGCCTTGCCAAAGGGGACAGTGACCTACTTTCTTGTCCTTTAATGTACAGCAATGAAATTTTGACCATGTGCACAGTTTTAGTTGTAAAATTGAACTTTGATATCAGGTGAACTAGATTTTGATGATGTGACCTACTTTCTTGTCCTTTGATGTACAGCTATGAAATTTGAACCATGTGTACAGATTAAGATGTTA